TAAAAAAGTCAAAGAAATCTTAAGAAACAAGTACAAAAGTAGGAAGACTTACACTACCTGAGTTCCTATAAAGCTACATATATTCAATATACTAAGGTACTGATAAAAAGATAGGTATTAAATCAGTGAAACAGAATAGAATTCAGAAAAAGACCAAAAATATACAAGCAATTGATATTTAATAAAGGTATCAGCCCTGGCCGGTTTGGCTCAGCGGTTAGAGCGTCGGCCTGCGGTCCAGAGAGATCCAGGTTCAGTTCCTGCTAAGGGCATGTACCTCGGTTACAGTTTATCCCTGGCCCTTGTTGGGTTTGTATGGGTGGCAGCCACTCGATGTGTCTGTCCCTTTCACATCGATATTTCTCTCTCTCTCTTCTTCTCCCTCCCTCCTACTCTATCTGGACAAAAAATGGAAAAATGTCCTCGGATGAGTATAAAATAATAATAATAATAATAATAATAAAGGTATCAAGATAATTAAATGAGAAAAATCTGTTTTCAACAAATGTTGCTCCAATAATTGATATCTGTGTGGAAAAGGATGAACTTTCACCCCCTACCTCCCATCACATACAAAATTAATTCCAAATGAATCACAGACTTAAATGTAAGAACTAAAACTTCAAGAAACACAGAAATAGGCCTGGCCAGTTTGGCTCAGCGGTTGGAACGTCGGCCTGCAGACCAGAGAGAGGGTCCCAGGTTTGGTTCCCGCTAGGGGCACATACCAAAGAAAAGAAACACAGAAATAATCTTTGTAATCATGAGGTGATCAAAGACACTTTCATAAAAAAAAAGAAATACATTGGACTTAAACAAAATTAAATATTTTACTCTTTGAAAGATATCATTACAAAAAAAAGTCATAGTATGGGAGAAAATATTCACAATACATATATCAAATAACTTGTATCAATATTTTAAAAAACTCCTACAACAAAGTTATACTAAATACAAATAACTAAATTTTTTTTCCTTTATTAATTTCAGAGAGAAAGGGAAAGTGAGAGGGAGAGAGAGATAGAAACATTGAGAAGAGAGAACATCGATTGGCCGTCTTCTGCATGCCCCTGACTGGAGATTGGGCCCACAACCTGACCAGGAATCGAATCAGAGACCTCCTGCTGCCTGGGTCAATGCTCAACCACTGAGCCAAACCATCTAGACCAAATAACTAAATTTTTAAAATCAGGCAAATGATTTGATTGGGCAAAGATACTTCACAAAAGAAGATATACAAATGGGCAATAAAACATGAAAAGATGCTCAACATCACGAACAATCAGAAAATTCAAATTAAAACCTTCAATGAGATACCACTATAAACCCATTAGAAAAGAATGACAACATCAAGCTTGTTGAGGATGGTGGTGAACTGAAATTCTAACACACTACTGATGGAAATACAAAATGGTACAACCAGGAAACCTACCTGACAGTGTCTTAGGAAGCTACCTGCACACATACACTGCATTCCTAGCATTCACAAGAGAAATGAAAATACAAATCTACACAAAGACTGCTGTAACGATGTTCATAAGACCTTCATTCCTACTGGCCAAAAGCTTGGAACCAGCCCAAATGTGAATGGATAAAACACTGCCAATATCCATATGGTGGAATACTAATCAGAAATAAAAAGTGAACAACTGATACTGCAACCCCATAACTAAACCTCAAAGTTAGTATGCTGAAAGAAGCCAGACCAAGAAGACAACATAAAATATTCTAGAAAATACAAACTAACCTAAAATGAGAGAACAGTGGTTATCTAAGGCTAGAAGTTGCAAAGAATTATAAAAGGGCATGAAGTAACTTTTAGGGGTGTTGGAAATGTTTTGTATCTTGATCACTGTAGTAGTTCCTTCTGTATATATCTCTGAAAAAATTCATTAGATGGTATATTTTATAGAGAAATGTGTTATACATAAATTATACGCAGTAAGTTGTTTTTTAAATTACACACTAAAAATCTCCTTGGTGAATAAAAAACAAACAACAAAAAAATTGGGAGTCAAAAGAAATAATCCAGAAGAGCTTATATTTAAAAACAGGCCCTGCCCAGCTGGTGTGGTTCAGTTGGTTGAATGTCTTCCCATGCACCAGGAGGTCACCGGTTCAATTCCCAGTCAGGGCACATGCCTGGGTTGCAGGCTCAATTCCCAGCAGGAGGCATGCAGGAGGCAGCCAATTGGTGTTTCTCTCTCATCGATGTTTCTCTCTCTCTCCCTTCCTCTTTCTGAAATGAATAAAATAATATTTTTAAAAATAGGTCCATGTAATTATATTTATCATAAAGAACTGACAGTTCAAAAATTTTCAATTAGTGACTGCAGTTTAAAAAATAAACTATTTAAATGCACTTATATTTAAATAGTCCTAATGAGTGTTACATACACTTCAATGTGGCCATACTGCAGTTTCTATGTATTTTAAATTTCTATACTGTCTGGGGGAATAGGAAATAGACACAGGTTTAGTCTAAACTGACAAATGCCTAACCCTGTTTTGACTCTATGCTATATATACTCTGAGAAAACAATAAATACTTCTCACATGACAATCAATGTATTTATCTTTTTAATTTATTACTTAACACAGTTCAAAACTTCTGTTACTTCAAGGAAGTCAAATAAACATTAACTTCTCACAAGATTTTTCCATTCATTTCACTTTTCATTAAAGAAAGTGCCTACAACTAAAACTCTCTGTGAACTACTACAACAATGAATTACAAGCCATTAAATTTTCTATTCATCACAAAATGAGCACAAAACTCTGTCCTTTGGTGACTAAATGCACTTGTATTGCATAACCCAAGACACCTGAGCCATCCGGGGCTTTTCTTGACAAAAAGAATTTCAAAAGATGGGAAGGCAGCTTCATAGAAATAAAAACTTATAAAACCAACCCCACCCTCGGCAATGCTTAAAAAACTTCAGAAGAAACTCGATACAAAGGACCAGGGGCAAAAATAGCTCAAATTATTTCTGTGTAGAAGAATGTTCTCGCAGAAACCGCAGAGGGTTTGGAGTAGAAAGGGAATAAATCCGATAAAAATCATGAAAGTGCCAAAAATAAATTTAATTAAAAATGGTAGTATCTTCATTATTCAGAATTCAACTGATCACTGTACTCATGAAAGGAGAATTTTTTCATAGAGCTTTTATACAAAAAACTCAACAGAAAACAAGCTCATAACCAGGAGTTCCTTTGAACATACATACAATTTTAGGGTATTTTGAGTTCAGGGACATTCATACCTACATCTACCATAGCCACTGTTTGCAGTACCACCAATCTCTGAATCTCAGTCTCCTCATTTGTAGAATAATCTCAAAAACCCTTTTAGCTGTACCAATATATGTTCAGAAAACGATTCTTTATAAAAACAAAAACTAAGTATCAAATAGGTGAGAAAGTAAACAAATATATACTTGGGAATGTAAAAAATCATTCAGTTATTTAGAACATGGTATATATCCAGAGCAAGATCATTCAACCTCCAACATACAAGAAAGTACCATAATGTTATGTAATACCCCAGAAACACATTTAGACCAGGAATAAAAATCAAACATCACATATCATATATTCAAATACCTACATGCTTCCTTAAAAGCAAGGTGTGTATTAGAAAGATCTCTAAATTGGGAAACTGAGTTATTTTTTACCCTCCATTAAGAACCTTTTGGGTTCACAAGTCATCTGGCCTTTCTGAGCCTTTGGTTTTGATCTATTTAGAAACTGAAACAGATGATCTCCTAAGTCCCTGCCAACTATAGTAACCTCTCAAGAAAAACCAAAAAGGGTGCTTACATTTAGTTAATAATCAGAAGTTGCTCAGCCTCATACTCAATGTCTTATGTAAAGATATACATAACCATCTAAACTCTGTTTTAGTATATCAAAAATCCATAAAACTTATTACTACTTCCTTCAGATTTAATGATTTCACAGTAGTAACCACATAAAAAAGAATTACTTCAAGAAACTTTAAAATACATTAAGTTCCTTAAACAGCCCCTATAGGATATAATCAAAAGTCCAAAAGAAATATCCAAAACAGTAAATGGTCTGTATAATCACATTGTGACGAGGTTAATCAGATGAGTAATCACAGCGAGATGTCTTACAACCACCTCAGTACCTTTAGGCTCACTTGTTACATTTTACTCTAGGTTTTTTTATGGACTTTATTTTTAAAACTTAATTTTGTTTTATAATCATGTGAAATATTTACATGGTTCCAAAGTCAAATCTATAAAAAACAAATGTGGTCAAAGTAATCTAGATTCTCCAGTCCTTCCATACATTTTGAATACAGGGTCTCAGACACAGAGACAGCATTGCTGACCATAAAAAGGCATGGGCCCTGGATTCAAATCTTGAGTGTATGACCTTGGATCATGGCTTCATGGCTCTAAACTGTTTCCTTGTGTCTACAGTGGTAATAGCAACATTTCAAAGGGGGTGTTGTGAGGATTAAATAAGATCATCTATGCATAGCATTCAGCTTTGTGAGATCTCAGTAAAGATTGACCACTAGCCCTAGGCTCTCCTTTGAGCTCACATAGTCCAGGAATTCAGGTGCAGGTTAGGAGATGAACCTGAAGATGCTCCATCACTGGCCTGAGGTTAATGGAGTCCGATGACTAAGAATACAGCTCATCTTTCAACCCCAGCACCATACCACAGTACTTACTCCTAAGATCCCAGGGTCCTCCAAGTTCCATGCTCATCACATATTCCCTACCGTCAGCACAAGGGATAAAGAATGTTCTTCCCACCAGGGTGACTTCAAAAGACTCACTGTGTGTCCCGGCCACTGTAGCTCAGTGGTTGAGCATCAACCCATGCACCAAGTATTCGATTCCCAGTCAGGGCACATGCCCAGTAAGAGGCATGCAGGAGGTGGCCACTCAATGTTCTCTCTCTCTCTAAAATCAATAAAAAAAAATTTTTTTAAAGTTAAATATTAAAAAAAAAAAAAAACTCACTGTGTTTAGTGCATTGAGAGTGGTGTCATCCCGAGAAGCTGCGACACAGCCATCCTCTGTGGAGCCTCCATCACACATGCCTGCAAATGCCGCCATGCTCCTTGGAAGGCAGAAAGGGAAAACATCAGTACAGAAATGTTAAGCCTCAATTATCGGAGTACATTTGCAGCCCAGACCAAATTCCATTACTACATGCATGGTAAACCAGAGTTCTCAGTCCTGTATAATTCACCCTTCACTCAGACACAAAAATGTTTCTCTCTCTTATTCTTACCATGCTTTTTCAGTACCCAGATTTTAATTTTCAAGGCATGTACAATCTAAAACTATTTGCCACAACAACTGGCTAGATTATAATCTTATGAAAGAAAAGTTCCCAGGAAACATACAAAATTAAATCCTCTGAAACTTTACTTAATTCCTTCCATGCTACACATTAAGTATCTGTAGGTGAATTAAAAGTAAAAAAAGGAGTCTTAGTAGTCATTCCCTCTGCTACAGCAGTGTCATTGCTACTGTGGGCCTCCATGCATAGCACCACTGACCAGAGAGCAGCCAGAGCTGAAATTTAGTCGCCTGGCTTTATTTTAGCATTTTTGTTGTACACGGTGCTGCAGTGAGTCCAATAAATCACTTCAGACAAAGGAAGTCTCTCTACCTGCACTACTTCTTTGTATTTAGTCATATATAGGTTAGCAAGTTCTCATACAGGGAAGCCACAAAAATGTCACATTTATGCCTAGCACCAATGAACAGCCATAAAGTGGAAAAATTTGTAATGGGATTTAAAGATGGACTGAATGACCAAATCACTCAATGTACTGAGGAGTGTTGACAATCGCTTGTATGGCTTTAGAGGTTTTCCTTCTGAAGAGTTCCAAAATCTGATGTGGGACAAACACAAGAAGAAAAAAGTGACTTTATCATGGTAAAATTATTTTTCTCTGCTAAGAAGGATCAGGGCTCTGATTACAGAGGGTATAACAAAACTGACACCAGAGAATGCCCAATATATAAATAAAATTTCAGGGGACAGGAGAAAGTTTATTGCCTACTAATCAATTCAGATGGCCTAATTCAGAAAGCAGGATGCGGCGTATTCCTATTACCTTGCTGCGCGCAAGTACATAAGGAGGTCACAGTCATTAACTCCAGGCATCCAGACCAGCTCCTCATGTTGGGTCACAGTGTCACCATCTGGAGAAGGGAATGGTTGCAAATCGGGAAGTTTGGCCTGTAAGACAGGAATGAAGAAGTCATAATCATGGCTCTTTAAAGAGCTGCCTCAGGCAGGCCCTGGGAACAGATACAGGAGCTTGCTAGATCTCTAGGCAGCACTGAAATAACAGCAAAACCCTGAGTCACTGAAACGCGCCTGCAGCACATTTCAGGATCATTTCAACATAGATTTCACAATGGACTGCTTAATCTCTATTTACAAGACCAGCAAACAGTGTCAAAGTTAAACCAAGGCCAGAAAGATCCAAAGAGCAAAACAGAAATGGACATGTATGAATAAAAAAAATAAAAAATGTTTCAGGAGATTACAGCACCCTGATAAAGAAAGAAAAAAAAACCCACACATTTCTAATATAACAGGTTTATAAAGAGACATCTACAAATAATGAAATCTCACCTAAGGATATTTGTTTAAAAATTAAATGAACTATCCTGTTAAATTAATGCTCTTCTCAAGAGAGTCCATGTCAGTCATGGTAAACATCAAAAAAAGACATAGAACTGGAGCTAACGTTACAAGTAGAGTAGAACGAAATGAAGGTGGCAGAAATTAGATGAGCAGTGGCTTCAGGAGAGGACTGCTTATGAAGGGGCAGGAAGGAACTTTTGGAGATGACAGAAATGTTCTGTGTCTTGATATAAACTGTCACAGCAGACTGAACAGAATATATTAATATATGAACAGTTCACTGTATGCAAAGTACAATAAAAATCTTTAAAGAATATTTGAATATGAGTGCTCAACAACTAAGATTCTAAGTCAGCTGTAATTTAGAGACTCGAATACCTTTTCTCATCGTCACTCTGCTGGGGCAAAACAAGCAGGTACTACCATACCCATAAGAGATCTATGAAAAGACATACATGTTCTTATTGTCCTAAAATTTGAATATGAACATGTTAGTCTAATATTTTAAACTAAGAACTGCAGTTTAAAAGCTCCGGTGTCCACAGAACCCAGGCAAAAAATCTGAAATGAATTAAACAGGCTTAGTATAAGGCAGCACTGTCTAATAGAAATAAAATGAGAGCCACATAATTCTGTTCAAATATTCTAGCATCTACATTAAATAAAACACCACACCCCAATTTGGACTAGGTACATTCCAAGTGCTCAAAGGCACCTGCGGCAGTGGCTCTGGACTGGAAGTGCAGGTATTAGGTCCTAAAGAATGAAGGGAACCAGGGTGAAATAGAGAGTGGTGCCCCATCCTGGGAATGCTGCCACTCAGGAATAAGAAGTAGCATTCGTGCATTGTCCAGTTTTTTCCAAAGTCCAAAAATCTTGATTATTATGAGAAAGCTCATGGTTTTAATGTTCGTCATTCAAGTTTTTAAAACAATTGTTTGCCAAAACAAATCAGTAGGCTATGTGGCTCTCAGGCATTGAAGAAAGCATTGACTTGCTCCAAAGATCCTCTTCTTTAATTTAGTACTGACTTCTATCACATTTTATTGGGTGCCACAGTTAGTTCTGCTTAATATACAGTGAATGTATTGAAATAACATTAAAACACAATAGATATTCATATCAAAAGATCTTTTAACATTTGTACTGAGCTCTGCTTCCCCAGTACCAGGCACAGAACCTAGTAGAGCAGCTCTCCAATGGTTGGTTGTTAAATTAATTAAAAAGTACTATTGTTGTGAGGGAGGACCAACTCCCCTAGAGAAAAATGGGCTAGAAATATAATTAGTTAGTTTACAAAACGGAAATGCATATGGCTTTTAATGGTAGGAAAAGATACTCTACTTGCTGAGAAGAGAACTATTAATTAATGACAGTAAGATACCATTTCCCCATCCATCAGGTTAACATAAATCTCTTAAGTGTGACAATACATAAGTCTACACTGCTAATATGAATGCAAAATGGTACAATCTCTATGGGGGGAAATTTTGGTTTGTTTTTTTTTAGTCCTCACCCGAGGACCTTTTTTGATATTTTGTTCAGATACAGTGGGAGGGAGAGAGAAAGAAACATCGACGTGAAAGGGACACATCGAGTGGTTGCCACCCACACGACCCAACCAGGGCCGGGGACAAACTGCAACCGAGGTACATGCCCTTAGCGGGAACCGAACCCGGGTCTCTCTGGACCGCAGGCCGACGCTCTAACCGCTGAGCCAAACTAGCCAGGGCTATGGGGGGAAATTTTGTAATATCCTAAGCATTACATGTGCACTTGCCCTCTAAGCCAGCCAGCCCCCTTCTAGAGATATACCCCACAGATATGTTGGCAAAAATGTAAAAATCTATATGTACAGGTTATTACAGCATCACTTGTAACAGCAAATTACCGGAAGCAACCCAAATACCCATCAATAGGGACTGGAGAATGAACTGTTACGCGCACTCAATGGAGTTCCATGAAGTGAGAAAGGAAACAAGGGGACTCTGTGCTGCTGTACTGTTAGAAGGTAAAGAAAGGGGGTATAGATATGTATATTATGCTACTATTGATCTAGAAACAGAAGGTGGGAGAATATAAATAGGAAGAAATCATAACCTTAAATTAAAAAACAACTATCAGCCCAGCTGGTGTGGCTCAGAAGATTGAGCATCATCGCATGGACTAAGAGGTCCCAGTTCCATTCCCAGACAGGGCACATGCCTGGGTCGTAGCTCGATCCCCTGTAGGGGTGTGTGCAGGAGGCAGCCAATCGATCTTTCTCTCATACATTGATGTTTCCATCTCTCTCTCCCTTACTCTCTCTCTAAAAAATCAATAAAAACATATTTAAGCCCTGGCCGGTTTGGCTCAGCAATTATCGCATCAGCCTGCAGACCAGAGACTCCTGGGTTTGGTTCCCGCCAGGGGCATGTACCTGGGTTGCAGTTTGTTCTCTGCCCCAGAAGGGGTTGTGTGGGTGGCAACCACTCAATGTGTCTCTCTCACATCAATGTTTCTCTCTCTCTCTTCCCCCCTCTTTCCCTCCCACTCTATCTGAAGATAAATGCAAAAATGTCCTCAGGTGAGGATTAAAAAAAAAAAGGAAAGAAAGAAAACATATTAAAAAAACAACAACCACAATTATCTGTTAGGAAGAGAGGGAACAAGGGGAGGAGACAGGGATAGAAGGTAGACTTTTGGATATACTTTGTTTATATAATTAACTTTGGAACCGTGTAAATTATTTTACACAATTATAAATACAAAATTAAGTTTAGAAAATAATAATCCCTTAAAAACTCTGAAGCAAAATGAAACAAAGCACCTAAATATGCATTGAGTTACTTCCTCTTCAGGAACTATCTTAAGTAACTAAAACGCCTTGTTTTGCCTTTACAACCCTAGTGGGACATACTGTGAGGCCCAAAAAAAAAAAAAAAAAAAATTAATAGTACACTGTTTTGGATAATCATATTATTTGTATCAGTGTGAGTACTGCTATTCTGAGCTGCTCAAATGTATTATGGGATTAAAGCAAATACTTATGCTGGTGTCATTTAAAAAAGGAATTTAAGAAATAAGAAAAAGATACAGATTTGGATGAAAGAAAAATAAAATTAATATAAGATCTATATAAAAATTTGAATTTGAACTATTAAGAAGCCATGATATATTTTATCTTTAAAAAAAGAAGAAAATGAAAGCAAAAGCCTATTTCCTAATCCATTCCCTAAAAAGGCCTGGAAACAGTAGCCAACCTAATAACAATAAACTCCCTAGCAGCCAGGAAAAAAAATACATCACTTCCCACTGAAATAATGAGGGCTCTTATGCGAAAAGTTTAATTCCAGATCTAGGGTAGAGAATGTAACAAGATGAGACATTACAATCATGTCATACCAGATAAAAGGAACCTACCAAAGTCCACTAGGGTGGAGTCAAAAGGACACAGAAGACAGCAGGAAGAGGCTCTTATCTATCCCCAAAACAGATCATTTAATCATCAATTAGAATAACTGCAACAGTTAGCATATAATAAACAATCTTAAACCTATTGGTCACTGCTGAAAGGTATTGGGGGAACCAACTCTGTATTTTGAAATCTGTACACTGAGGGGAGAGTCAAGCATTAATCTTTCTTTTCCTATGATCCAGGGAATCAAATAGTTAAGGGGGAAGCTTCATGTAGTCAGCTAATAAATCAAGGAATGGTAGGATGAGAATATCACCATTTTGAGATCCCTAATTAAATAGTGGGTCTAAGTAACAAGCAAAGGCTGCAAATCATCATTAAAAGACACCAGTGCCTCCTGGTAGACCCACAGAGCACCAACTTCAACTATTCTTGCCAGGTAAGAGTACCAAACTAGAGTATGATTAAATCCCTAGACTTAACTACTAATTTTCAAGATATGCCCAGGACAAGGGAACAAGTTTAATGACACACAAAGATTCGAACAGCCAAATCCAGACAGTGGAACACCCTATAGGGCAAAATACTCAGCTTATTCAACCCACATATTGAGAGGGGGGAGAGAAATATGAGAAACATGAATTAAAAGAGATTTATGAGATATATCAACCAGTTGCAAAGCACGACCCTTATTTAGATTCCAACTTGAACTGTAACTCCCCAAAAAAAGAGAGAAAGAAAGTGAGAGAAGCAATTAGGGTAACATGGACATGGTGGACAAATGAATATTAAGAAATTGCTCATTTTCGTCGGCCCGTGGACCAACGAGTCGCGGGTTCGATTCCGGTCAGAGTCACATACCTCGGTTGCGGTTCGTCCACAGCCCTGGTCAGGGTTGTGTAGGAGGCAGCCAGTCAATGTATCTCTTTCACATCAATGTTTCTCCCCCTCCCTCTCTATCTGAGATAAATGGAAAAATATCCTCGGGTGAGGATTAAAAAAAAAAAAGAAAAAGAAATTGCTCATTTCTATTAGGTGTGATATATTGTGACTGTTTCTTGAAAGAGCTCTTATATTTAGGATATTTACAAGTGAATGATACAGTTCTGATTCATTTCAAAATAATGGTGGAAGAGATGTGAGAAAGAATAAATTAAGCAAGTTTTACAATAATACGTGTGAAAGGAGAGTAATAGGATTAAGGAGGTTTACTGTACTTACCATTCCCTACTTTTGCATATGTTAATATTTTACCTAATAACAAAGTTAAAAATTTTAAGAAGGTAAATGTTTCCAATTCATAAAAAGATCCTGTTATATTTGGTGCTCTGAAACATTTCTTTTTGAAGATAAACCATACAGAATATATTTAAAATCTGACATTAAAAAAATATCTGATTTTAAGTGAAAGTATACAAAAATCCAAGCATAGTAAATCTGTTAACTTCTAAGAACTTAAGCATCTTTTACTTAAAAACCACTTTTTCTGTTACGGTAGGGAGAAAAAAAATCTGTAAAATAAAACTCTACTACAATGATCTCAAGCCACTGGAAACACACAGAGGAAGAAAAAAAAATAGGTGTTAAAATAGAGTGGGAAGAAAGAGCAGAGAGAGGGAGATGTAATCGAGTGGTACCAGGCTGGTACTGGATCCCCTGGTTAAAACATAAGTCCTAGGCCTGAAGGCACAGAAAATACAGTGGAGAGATGGTAGTCAGCACTACCGAACAGGTCACACCAAGAAAAGAATATACAGTAGGTCCTTTTGTTCACTGTCATTTCATTTTAATGCTGGAGATATGCGATAGGAACTTTAGTTTACTCTTGTTTGTATTAATCAGCCTATGGTAAAATTGGTTTCATTATATGTTGTTTCACTTAGTCGCAGAACCTATCAACAATGTTAAGTGAGGACTTACTACACCTGAACGAGGCAGACATTAAGAGAAGTGTCCTCTTGCAGCCTCTTTCTGCCTGTCTGTTATAATCCTAGTTCTGGGATGAGAAGTATCTTCTAGTAATTAGATGCCCCTGATGGTTCTGTGTTTTGGTTTTAATATTCCTTTGCTTCTTAATTTCTTTCTCATTACAGAGTTAAAATAAATTTTTAAAATATGAATGACATACAAGAAATACTCAAAACCAGACAGAAAAATGACTAACTAGATAGACTACTAAAACCTCTGTACCTTATACGGAATTTGCCTGTACCTCGCATCTCTCGTATGTGCTTGCCACAGTGGCTGACTCCAACCAACATCCATTCCAAATCCAATCACAATGATCTAAACCCATTTTCCTAATGGCTTAGAAGTGGACACATGACCCAATCTATGCCAATGAGATGAAGATTAAGGGAAACCTTCTGGGAGAATGTTCCTTTCTTCTAGAGGGAAGAGAAGAATGATCCCCTCAACATTTGCTGTATTTCATTCACTGTAAGATCCACTATTAGTTTATGTGCATTTAGTAAGGAGAAATGCTGCCCATTACATTATAATCATACCACAGACTGTACAATGAAGTCCGTCAGAGATAATGAGAAGTGAAGGAAAGAAGAGCATCTTAGGATCAGTGAAGTCAGCTAACGGCTTGAGGAGGAAGCCAGCACACAGGGGACAGCCAAGCACCAGGATAGCCACGGAGAAGCAGAGCCTGGTCCTGCTTGACCAGGGTGTGATGATTTGTGGGACCATAAACAGCCAAGTTCAGCCCGAGTTTTCTGCTCCTGCCCATCAAAGCATCCTAACTGACAGAGAGATCAAAGGAAGAGATGACAAACATGACACCAGAGTCTCAGTAAACCAAATAAAGCATGAGAGGGGGCACAGGTCACAATACAACAAGCTACCATCTGACAAGTATCCTAACCATCCTAACTCTTCTGAAGGAAAGAGAGCTTTTAAGAAGTTAAAATCAATGTATGTGGTAACCAACTGTTCACGGATGGGTGAATGGATAAACAAAAGTTGATATATACGTACGATGGATCGACTATTCAGCCTTAGAAAGGAATTGAATTCCAACACGTTACAACCTGTGTGCACCATGAAGACATCGTGCTAAGTACAATAAGCCAGACACAGAGGACAGATACTGTGTGGTTCCACTCATCTGAGGTATGTAGACTAGGAAAATTTATACAGAGAGTAGATTTGTGGGTGCCAGGGGCTGAGGGGCAGAAGAATGAGGAGTTAATGTTTAGGGGGGACGGTTTCAGTTTGGGAAGATGAAAAGTTCTGGAAGTTGATGGTGGTGATGACTACACACTATGAATGTACTTAATGCCACTTAATTATATACTTAAAAATGGTTAGAATAATTTTTACATCATGCATATTTTACCATAATTAAAAAATAAAAGTATGAGGTAATCTGGAAAAAGAAACCTGTGCATTTATATAAAAATGCCTGTAGAGATATCAACAGTTCTAAGTTGCTCCTCAACAGAATAAAAGGGAAGCAGAATAAGAAATAAAAACCTATCAAGGAAGCTACTGAAATGCACTTTACCTGATGGCTAGGACCGACACGAATTTCTCCCTGGGTACTGTTCAGCCTCCTGTCAGGAAAACAGATTTTGTTAGCAAATGTAGTTTTGACATAAACGTTCACATATTTTTCAAGGAAAATAATCCACTTCAAATAAATGAGGTATAACTCAGGAAGAATCCACTATTTCTAATGCTGCCTTGTACATGTACACCCCCCACCTCATACATCTCTCAACTTTTTCTCCTAAAAACCCCACGACTGCAGCTTCCTGGTGGAGTGCCTTTACCATCACTGCTTCCATGCCTCAGAAAGAGGCGCATGCCGACAGTGTAATTCCAATAGATGCTTATTCTTTTCAAACATTTCAGGGTGCCCTACAATAAACCTTATTAAAATATAAACAAGGTAATTTATGGTTCCGAGCATACATACTGGGTCATTCACTCATTACTTCATTCAACAAATATTTATTACGCATCAACTATACGTCAGGAATTATCCTAGGTGTTGAGATTAAAGCAATGAACAGAACACTGTTCTTGCCTTCTTGGAACTTATATTCTAGTTCAGGTAAGAAACAAAAACAAATAATAGGTCAGATGATGATAAAGGCCAAGGAATTGTGTAGATGGTAAATGATGAAATATTTTTACAGCTTTCTACAGGACAGTCATGAAAGGTCTTATTAATAAAGTGAAACCTGAGCAGAGATGAAAGACATGAGAGGGAATGAGCTCAGCAGGTCTTGGAGGTGAAAGGGCTTCTCTCATTTCAGTCTATGCTGTTCTTTTTTTCTTTTTTGTTACACAAATTAACTCATTTACTATAGGACAGCAGTGTTTCGACGTGTGAAACTTCTACTGGTCTTTCAGTTCCTGTCCTCTAATGGCAGATGTGGCTGCAAGGGCAGCGCCAGCGACTGTCTTCATGCAGGAACCACAGTGCCAGATCCCACAGCTCGTCTCTTCATCTTAGTTTCACCAAAGAAGAAGCATATGTACTTGGCATACTGGTTAATTTCAATTTTCTTCACCATTTTCCTGAAGGAGGCACCGTAACAGGTCCCACTTTACCAACGATGTGGACCTTCTTGGTGTTTAGCCATGTCACAGAAACCTAGGTCACAACCCCGAGACAGCAGGTCTATGCCATTTTTACTGCACTTGCAAGGCCCACCCCTCCCTTGCTCCAAATCCTAACCATCCAAGTTCCTTTTAAAAGCCACTATTTCCAAGAAGTCTTTCTTGATGTCCTCCCCATTTCACTCCACACACCCAGAAAAGTGTAGGGAGTCTTCCTCTTTTCACTCCATGAAATATTCATTGAATATCTTTTTTGTCCCAGGCCATGCATAGGGTACTTACTGAGTGTATGACGGAGAACAAAGAAATATAGTCCCTGCCCTCCCAGAGCTCACAGTTCCCAGCTACCTGTGTGTAACATTAGGAAAACCTTTTCTGTGTCCAGTGACCAGTCTCTGTTGGGTTTACAGTCACTGAATTGACACTAGTGCCCAGGAGGAGACTTTACATAGCGAGAGCTGATCAGTGAGTATGTGTCGCCTTGCACTAAGCTGAAGAGTACTATAAAACAGCTGCCCTGGCCGGTTTGGCTCAGTCCGTTAGAGCGTCGGCCTGCGGTCCAGAGAGACCCGGGTTGGGTCATGCGGGAGGCAACCACTCGATGTGCCCCTTTCACATCGATGTTTCTCTCTCTCTCTCTCTTCCTCTCTCTCCTTCCCACTCTATCTGAACAAAAAAACAAAACAAAACAGCAAAGCACCGAAGAGGAAGCAGTCTCTTGTTTCTCTCCTGTGGATCTGATTTGCCCACCATTATGTATGAAGTTGTTAAAGTGAATTTAAAAAACTATTATTTCCTTCAGAGGCCTTGGGTCCAGCACTTCCTTCATTTTTAATCCAACAATTTTACTCATGAAGAGTCTTATCTGGGCAAAGGTGGCCAGTAGATATGACAAAGGAGAGATGAGTAACAAAAAGAAAAAACGTGTGTCCCAGTACTTTTGAGCTTACACCCCACCTACCAGGGGAGGTAGCATCCATCCCCAAAATACCAGAAAAATTTCAATCTCTATGTTCATGAGCACAAAGCATTTCAGGAGAAACAGAGTACAAAACTGATAAGGGGAGTGGCCAAAATTAGGCAGGCTTCAGGAGCAGACAGTCAATGAATGGGTTAAGTTCCAAAGAGACCTCTGAAGGAGACGACAAGCACAACAGAGGGCTGGCTCCACAAATGGGAGGAAAGCCCTGCAAAGACAGCAGGTTGAGGGAGAGAGAGGGACATGGTGGGGGAAAAGCTTGCATGAAGTGCAGACATAAAATATAAGCCATCTTCGTGTCTTCAGGAGGCGGACATGTTGAAAAACAGAAGCCAGAAGATAAACTGTTCTAGCAGGGCTCTGTAAGAATCATAAGAAGCTGTTTAGGGAGGTGTGGAGAAGAACCACTGGACCAGGAGACTATCAATCACCAGTACCGTTTTTAAAAAAATAAGCAGTTAGTATTACCAATTTCCCTTCTAACTTGTCCCTTTGTTTCATAACTAGCTATGAACCAAACTAGCTGCCAAAAGTTTCTCCTTTATTTCTAAATACTTTCCAAATGTTTGTGTGCCTACATTTAAGTCCAGCCAAAACATTATCATCTCAGAAAGCTGCAGCCACAGCCCATCCAGTAATTTGTACCCACAGCTCCTCTCTCAGGTTGTTCTAGAAGGTCTATGTTATGCCAAGATTTTCAAGTGTTTGGTTATGAAAGCATTTCCCATTACTGCTACAGATACTGCTAAGTCCTTCATAATTCCAAGACAAACATTCCTGGTTCATTTCATTTTAATACTTTTTCTCTTTTATGTTTTTTTGTTCTTATTTTCTTTTAATATTTTAATAAACCAATGTCATATTAGCTTAAAATTATACCACAATTGCCCGGCCAGTGTGGTTCAGTGGTTGAGCATCGACCCATGCACTAAGAGGTCGCCAGTTCGATTCCCAGTCAGGGCACATGCCCAGGTTGTGGGCCCAATCCATAGTGGGGAACATGCAGGAAGTGACCAATCAACAATGTTTCTCTCTCTCTCCCTCTCCCTTTCTTTCTCTCTAAAACTCAATAAAGAAAATGTTTTAAAAATTTCAACAAGAAATGTACCACATTAATAAAAACAAACCCCCCAAATACCTTATTGAATAGAACTAATTAGACCTTATTTATATGTGTAAAAATGGAGGCTAATAATTATTAATACTGCTAATAATAATACAAGTGAGGGAAAAAAATGTGTTGGGGAAATCTTAAGAGCCTAAATTGAAAAAGTTTTCTCTCATTCATGAAGGCTACTATAAGGTGAGTAAGTAAAAAGTACAAAATAAAGGTAAAACAAAGAACTTTAAAAAAAACATATTTACAAATCAATTTTTACAACAAAAGCATTTCTGAATCATATGCAGCTTTCAAATATTAGGATTTCACACTAAGAGACACAACAGTTATTTTTGAGCAGGGTCAGGATCTTAGGGAAGCAGACACTGGCATTAGCTGCCATGTCCAGGAACTCCCAAACACAGAATAAATGGCAGAAATACTTTTTAGGTCCATGATAAAAAAAGATAGATAGCAACAGAACCCATTAGTGAGAACTGGCTGCATCCAACAGAAGAACTGTCAAAATATGAACTAAAGATGAAAGATAAGAAGTAGGCTTCATAGGAAACTGCCAGGATCCAGCTATACCTAAAATCCACAGAACTATCACCACCCTCCCCTCTTCTGACAGCATCCAAACTGTTAAATCAAACATTCCTCCCCTGCTGCCTCACTCCTCCCTTCTTCCCGAAGGCTCCTCTTATGGCTCACACTGCACTGTAGAGGATAAGTCTGCTATGTGAACATTTCCTACCTCCACCACTCTGGGACTATCAGCTTCTAAAATACAAGAACTGAGATTTAATTCATTTTTTGTATCCCCCCAGAGTCTAATACAGTCCCTGCCTGGCATTATTATGCATTCGGGACAAATTAAAAGTTCCCTGACTGCATAAATATCTCTGGACTACTAAGATGTAAAACTTGACAAAAATCACCAGGAATTATTACTTAAATGTAGTATCAACAGTGTGTAGAAAACATTTGATAATCATATGCTGACTACTACATTTTTCCCCTTAGGTAAACAATTCTCAAACCCCTTCACATTTTTTTTACAGTGTAAAAAGTGTATATTTAGAATTAGCTAGCTGAACTCAGTTTAGATGATCATAATTTTGTTGGAAATATCCCAAGCATCATAGTCAGGAGTCAGTGAAACATATGCCTTCTTCTCTTCATCAGGTTTGATCAGGGTGTTGACCTTGGCCACGTCAGTGTCATAGAGCTTTTTCACAGCCTGTTTGATCTGGTGCTTGTTGGCCTTGACATCCACAGTGAACACAAATGTATTGTTGTCTTCTATCCTCTTCATGGCTGATTCAGTAGTCAGAGGGAATCTGACGATGACAGTAGTCAAGCTTGTTTCTCCCGAGGAAGCTCTTCCAAGGACATTTAGGCTGTCTTTGGCCGTCAGAAGGTGGGTGGTGTGCGGATCTTCATTTTTTGTGTGGCATTGCTTTCCTTTGTCTTCAAAGTTTTGGCTCTGGCTTTGAAAGGGGTAGGGGCTCCCTTCTCAACTTTCAGTGATATCTTTGTAAAAAGCCCTTTCATGTTCTTCAAATTACTGAGCATCCCAACTAAGTTTCGAAATATTTATTTATAGCAATAAGCTCATTATTTATGCATATTAACACGCATAAAATTTTTTATAAAACATGACTGTACTTACACAGAAAAACAGTGAAAATAAAGGCACTGTTTCACATTTTTGCAAATCTCTTTAATGGAAGATAGCTGGATTCTCATATCTGCTTCTACATTCAATATGTTGCAACATGTTGGTTTGGTTAATATACAGTATATGAGGAAAATCTTGTCTCATACAGATATGTAACTAGAAAAGCAAAAAATATTTTAATACCTTTTTGCTAATTATGGATATTCTTTTTGATACTACACCG